CAGAAATACGATAAATACGCCGAGTTCAGTGGCTAATCTGCAGGATTCAGCTGAGGTGACGTGACGGCGACCAGCGAGACCTAGCTGTCAATCAAGTGACCACGCCCTTAATTATGCAAACTTAATATAACTTAATATAAAGGAAATGGATGAGTTATAAAAAAATTCACCCCCCTCACAGTTGTCATGAAGGGTAATACTACCTGTATTAACCAAAATCTTTTTTTGTACCAGGCTGTAAACACCTTTTTTCTGCTGTAAAGTTGGCCATTCTAACAGTGGGCTCAATTGAAATTTGCTCTGTTTTGGAGCCAGGAGCCGCCAGGACTAGCGGAATTTCGGATGAATTGCAGTTTTAGTTACTTCCGTATTGGCTTCCTGAGGGAGAGCGGGAGGTTGCCGCTTGATTGTGAATAGAAGTGGTGAAACAAATCCCTCAGAGCCTTTATCTTAATTTCGTTATTACCAACTACCCGTCATAATTTAGAATGTATTTTAATTTTGTTTGTTAGGAAAGACTTATTTGTGTGTTGGCCAATGTAAAGGCTAAGTGTATTTACCTAGGCCTACTGATTACAGCTCTAGTGCAGGTATATTGGAGTGATATAAACTCAACAAGTCTTTTTTTAAAATGTCCTGATGTTTAAATAGCACCCAAATCCCTGTGTTTTTTAGGCCCACCACAATATGCGGTTGTAGTACAGTTTTCCCCACTTACCAAATTGACAGGCGCCATGTTTGTATAATAACATGTATACACGTTCCCAGAATATTTTTTTGCAGAAACTGGGATTAACATGTCTGTTACAACTCTCTGTGGTTTTTAACAGAATCATTCATTTGTGATTTGACAGAATCAATCAAAAGGGTTAGTGATTCTCTTTTTTGTGTTGTTTCTGTATAGTTTAATTATGTATAATGGAAAACAGCAGTGTGTTTATAAAATTAAGAAATAATTCACAGATCTAATTTGATGTTATACTTTAGATTTTTACCTCAGCTATTTAAGACTTAAAGGGCACATTTTTTACCCACTTTATTAAGATTAAAGAGAAGTCTTATGTCTGTTAAGTTTCCCCTCAAAACACCCATCAGATTATTTCAAGAGTTCACACTTAGATACTGTTTGACAACTTGTTAGCAAGTTAGCAGGTTTGGCATGCTGTCCCAGGAGTGTACCCTGAGCTTGGAGATAGTTGAGCCCAGGGCTCTGCCAGGTCCAAAGAGCATGTGAGGGGAGTACGAGATCAGGGCTGTTTCTCAATATGCGTTCTTCAGCGGCCTTGCGTCCTCGTGTTCTCGTGCAACGTCATCATCAGCTGCCCAAGTTCAGTTCCAATACTCAAGACGGCAAGTACGGAGGACGCATGAAACTTCCGGATGTGTTCTTGATATCGAGGACGCACTGATGCAGACTTGAGCACCAAACTCGCTCTGGAAGTCCCAGAAGTCATTGCGAAGCACTGCATTTTATTTAGATTTATTATTAAAGTTTAGAGATATCACTTATTTACATCAGGAGTTTCCCTAAATGAAACGTTAAAAGTAAACATTACCATGAACATCTTAATAAAGGAATAAACACATTAAGGGTGTTTGTTTGCTGAAATTCGTATTAACATCTGTTTTATTCATATTGTGCAACATAGATTTATAATGTTTTATGCAAAATATATATTTTGAAAAGGGGAAAAACAATAAATCGTTGTATGAAGGCTGAAATGTTTAAATAATTTCCATTTAAAACGCGTGAAGGTCACGTGACCACCAGGAAGAACTCAGCATCCCATTTCTCAAAGGACGCATTCTCTGCCCTCGCGGTCTCCTGAGTTCGTTCTTCTGAGGACACCTGGCAAGACCGGTCTCCAGAAGAACACAAGTCCGTTCTCTGCGTTCTTGGAATTGAGAAACAGCCCAGGTGTTCTCGAGAGCTCCCCTCGGCAAAATAGGAAAGGAGGAGAAGGGGTGGATGGGGGGTTTCTTCGGGAAAACGAAGATAAGGTGTTAGTTCTTAGCTAGGTTACTTATAGTGGGTTTGGATTAATCTGATTGGCTAGCTAATGAGTGTAGATGAGTGGCCAGCTGCAGTCAATCATATCACGTGCTCCTTTCGAAATTAGTTTGTGAAACTTAATTTATTATAGCTTTCAGACTATTGGATTATCTGCTCTGAACACAATGTTGCTGTTTTTGTTGCCTGTGCCTTTAATGTTAGTTTTCTCTGCCCAGCGTTCCCTCGTGCCTGTCAGAGTGTGCCTCAATCTCTGCCTCGGCTGTGTCAGATAAACAGCACAGTGACAGACATGAAGGAGCAGATCTCACGTAACATTTTTGAGAAATACTACTGTAAGAACTTTCAAACATGCTTTCAAAAGAATTTCATTTTCAGGTCCACAAAACACTATTGTCATATAAATGAAGTGCAGAAATGCATTTAAAAATGTTCTATATTTATTTGAAAACAATGTTGTGTAAACATCCCTCAGGCAGCTTGATGTTGGTGACATTTGTTACTCATAATTCCTGCTCACAACATTGAGTCTGCACTTGCTTTTGAGCAATTCCATTCAACTTAGTCATGAAAACAAAAAAGTTTTCACCAAAATAGCTAAACCCCCCTTTTTTTTTTTTTTTTTTTTTTGTAGGCTTGTATTTTACAGTCCTGCGGAAATACTCAAATATGCTTCTGTCAATGTTTTCAAACTGTTATATTTGATTTTCCGAAGTCACACAAGTGCCAATTTCAAGTATGTTGTATACTGCAAACTAGTGCTGTGTGGTTTGGTGGAAAACTTCTAGTTGCAATTTATTTTTATTTATTTGTTTATCAGATATTGTAAATGCAATTTGATTTACGAATTAATTTTGCCGTTAAGCGTCAGCTCAATATTCTGTAAGCCATGGCAACAATTCTGCGACAATTCTTAAAAATGGCCTCTTTTTGTTCTGTGTCTGTGAGTTTGAAACCAAAATATTCCCATATTAACAACCTGCTGTTTTTCTTTGTCATGAATTCTTTTATTAATGCTTTTGAAGCTGCAGATGCCATTATCCCACTTTCTGTGCTTTTCTGTTTGTTTTCCTAATTTTTAATTTTATTGTGGATGTTCTGCATAGTTCAGATTCGCATTTCTGATTGGGCAGAACGAAAGTGTGCTCAGTCAATTGACTACTAAGACTGTCATACACATTCGAATGTCACGCATTTGCTTTAGGCGGGGGAAATTAACAAATTTTATATCACAGCCTCTTGCAATTAACTAATTGCAATGTTTTAAATTTCAATTCGTTTTCGATTAATCGCTCAGCCCTACTTCAAACTTAACGCATGTTAGTTTTTTTTTTTTTTAAATATAAAATATGTTTACAGACTTATATTTGTCTAATCCTTTAACTCTGTGCTTAGTAGTTGTGGATAATTTAAACAGATGTTTCAATATAATATAACAAACTTTGTGATTTCTTGTTAAGTTTTTATTGCAAATGTCACACCTATAAGGCTGGAATTGCTCTGTTGCCTGTTGTCTTCAAGTTGCTTTCTAGCATTTCTGCTTACGAATAACAACATATTCAAAAGTCCTTCTGTAGGCTCTTTGAAAGAAAAATATGTTGTACTTTCACAGCCTCTTTCTCGGTAAATATCAGCACATTTTTCCCGCCTTTGACTGTAGATCTGTTGACAGACAAAGCTGACACTGTGCCCATTTGGCGTCTCAAATATTCATGCTTTCAAGACCCCTGCTCTTGAAATGCTCCGTGGCACACTTTAAAATCTCCTAAATGGCCGAGTGCAAGAGCTTGGACCGACTCTTTCTGCTGGGTGTAAATGCAGTGTTGCATTATTCAATCTGCTCTCACTCATGCTCCAGCAGTGATAGTGGAGAGACTGTGGGAGTGTATGTGTGTAGTTCTGAACGAACACTGAGGAAATGCTGCTGCACTGGGCTACCTCCAAATGACACTTCGACAACCCTATTTTTATTATATGTATAGCTCTTAAGTTTGTTTTTTGTGTCTTTCGGAATATAACTTCTAAAGATCTACACCTACTGTACATGCCCCCCCAAAAAAGAAAATTAACAGCCAAATGTTTCCTCAGGACATTACTGTAGTGATTTGTATTGGAAAGGGTTCAGCATGGCAGTGTTAAATTATTAACTGCGTCCAATGCTGTTCAAAAGTTTGCTATTAATTCAAAATATTTTCTCTTGAGTAAATGCAAACTTTTATCTAGCAAAGTTGAGTTCAATCTATAAATTCTGACAGTAATTAATTAAAGAGTTTTATTTCCAATGATGGCTGTTTTAACTGTTATTCATCGCTAAGCCCTAAAAAAAAAAAAGCCGTTTGTTTTAATGAAGTACAGATGTTTTTAATGTTAAGAATAGCACGTATGCATTAAATCAGCATAATGGAAAGATTTCTGAAGAATCATATAGTGCATAACACTATGGTAAGGGTGCAGAAAATGCGAGTTTGCCGTTGGAGGAATAAACATTTGAATAATTTCTCTCTATAAGGGATGTTAACGTCTTTTAAAATGCATTTCATGTTTAATTTTTAACCACAGTCTTTATTTTATTTTATTTTTATATAATAAAAAATGTTCTTTTTTTGTTTTATTTGCATCCATTTACAAAATAAAAATATTTTAATAATTTAAAAAATATATATTTTTATTTTTTTAGGCAATAAAAGAAGCTAAATTAAAATAATTAACCGGATTAATAAAATGCACTCTTTGTGCCCTTGATGGCTAAATAAATGAATAAATAAATAAATAAAAATAAATAAAAATAAATAAAATGATATACATATAATAAAATGAATAAATAAATAAATAAATAAATAGATAAAATAAATAAATAAACTAAATGAAATAAAATAAGTATGAATAAATAAATAAATAAATAAATAAACTACATCCAATTTTTAATTGATGCGAGTTGTAAATGTAAAAAGATACACAGTTTGATAATGGTTTATGTCTTGTTTTGTAGAAGCTATCAGGAAGTCACAAAGCACTGGTGGAAATGCAGGACGACGTGTCTGAACTACTGCGTTCTGCAGTCAGAGAATACCCCAAAACAAAGGTGAGTGTTTGTTTACAGGTCTCTACGTGTTTGTCTATGTGATTCATAGAATGCATGCAGTGTGTACTGCCCGTTTCCCACAATTCACGAAGCACAAATGTCCAAAAAGCTTGCTGATCCTTTTGTACTGTCAGTTTAGTGTGTATGTGTGTTCTCCCCTTGGGCCTCTGTCATTGTGCAGCATCTGTGTGTGTTTTGGACAAAGTGAAGGCTGACGTTCTCCACATGAGAGAAAACGCTGAATCAATGGAAATATTTCACCCTTAGAACCAGCCAAAATCTGATTGCCTTTGCAGCTTTTTAAAGAAAATAGGCCTCTTTCTTTGACATCCTTTAGTGCGGTTGTTTGTGTTTGTGTTTAGTATTACTGTTGTGTGTTAAACTTTAAAAAAACACCATAAACCCTTGCAAGAGTGAAATATGGAATGGAAATATTAGCTATGTTTCCTTGGGCATAAAAACATATAAAACATATACAACTGAGTAGGATAAACTCCTTTTTTATAAATAAAACTATGATGGAAACACTTTTAAAGAACAAATTCCAGTATGCGCATAAAAACAAGTCATGTGATTTTGTCTTAAGAGATAATGTGATGATAAAAATATATGTGAATGGACAAACCAAGCGGCTGACCACATTGGTTTGGTCATTCTAAAACACCTTAGTCATAGCAGTATTAGTGTTATTATATTATTAGTAACCTCCAGAATTGTTAAGAGCGTCAGTGCTTGGCGCCTCATTCCTTCAAATGCCACCACGTGTTCAATGCGTGTCGGCATTTGTCTTCTAAGGTGCGAGTAATGTATTAAAAAAAGAAAAGATTCATGCAGCTTCTCTGTTTTTACTTTTGATATTTGGTGCCAGTTAATCAGAAAGTGACGATTTTGATGGAAACGCTGCTTTAATCGTACCTCTTTTATACAATGTTACAGTTTTGCGCATTCAATTAATTTGCATCTTTGGATGGAAACATAGCTATTGATTATTGTGTGTGCACATAACTCTGTTCAGATGTTTGATGTTCATTCATTGACTTGAACAGGAATTGTTTGACTTAATCTACTGAATGAATGATTCAGGTAATCAAAGACTTGTTTCAATACTTAATGAGTCTTTGGGCTCTATTTTAACGATCTAAAGCACATGGCGCAAAAGCATTAAGGCTGTGTCTGAATCCACTTTTGCTATTTTAACGACGGAAAAAATGCAATTTGAACTGTGGTGCATGGTCTAACAGGGTTGTGCTTATTCTCTTAATGAGTTATCAGTTTGTTTTTAGTATAACATGCAATAAACCAATCAGAGTCTCGTCTCCCATTCCCTTTAAGAGTTACTTGTGTCGTGCCATGGCACATTTGCCATTTACATGACGAAGTTTGTAAGTGGAAAAACAGAACGCTTTACCAGCGAGAAAACAGTTAAACACCATCTGCAGCGAGGATAAAAACGAGCCTCCTCCATTTGGCCTCTTTACTTTCTTTTTACTTCTTCACTTTCGTTTATTGGGAAATGGTTTTGTACGCACTCCACTTAAGACATTCATTAGCCTATATATTTAATTTAGTTTGTTCAACACAAAGATTTGTTTCAAAACTATTATTAAATTCCAGAAATCAGTTCTAATTTCCAGCAAGCAAATAAATTAACAATAATAACGAAGTGCGGTCAAAAAACTGAGTTATATCCAAACACACCTCCTGTGCCCCATATGGTGGTGCATAAGTCTCCAAAACTCGACAGATGGACAACTCTAAACTTGTTTTTATTAAAACAAATATAAACATGCAAATAATAAATAATACTGCTAATAATAACAACATTATTCAAAAGCAAATTGTCATCAATAAATTGAAAAAAAGCCCCTCCGAGATGAAGAAGGCATGGAGGTAGTGATTTTTATATTTATGTAGAGAATAATAATAAATACAAATTTTTTAATCCTTTAATTCTTTTTTATTTGTAAAGATATTTGCATATTGCTGTACATTGCTGTGAATTTAAGGTGCACAACTAGCACGCTCTGCTCTGGACCTTAGACCTGCTTTCAGCTGGTCAATTGTGCAATCTATGTTAGTTCCTCAAAATAGCAACGTGCCAACAATGCGCCTAACACACCTCCTTTCTAGGCCGGAACACCCATGAGCCCACACTGTTTTGATTGATTGAAATTATTTGCTATTGACAACGTGGCGCAAAACATAAATACTTTGGTTGGGTTGGTCTGAAAATAGCAAAAAACACGTCTTGCACCTTATTGCGCTGGGTGTATGATAGAGCCATATGTGTTTAACAAATCTTTTCAAACTCATTTTTGATCAAATAAACAGCCTTGATGTGGATAAATGTTATGTTTACCTGGCAATGAGGTAGTATGAATATATACATTTCTAAAACTCGCACTTTGAAGCTTTTCCAAAAGTATGCATTTCATTTCTCTCTCTCTCTCTTTTTTTTTTTTTTTTTTTTTTTTTTTTTTTTTTTTTTTTTTTTTTTTGCAGGGTAACCTTGAGCAAATTCAAAGAGGCTTAAACACCACTGAAGCTGGACTACATCAGCTCACTGCCCTAGTGGATTGCCGCAGTTTGCACATGGTGAGAAACTTTTTTTTTAATCATTATTTTACTCATCGAGCTCAATACTGACCCAGAGGTCTGGTTTAAATTTCCCTCTACCCACAGCCCATTTACAAATAAACACACTAGCTTCCAGTAAAATGTTTATTTTCATTGTATGATTCTCCCATAACGTCTTCAAATAAAACATATATATATATATATATATATATATATATATATATATGGGTAACACTTTACTATAAGGTTGTATTAGTTAATGTTAGTTAATGCATGAACAAACAATGGACAACACATGTATTCAGTGTGGGCAAGCTACTTGAAAAATGTACTGATCTAAGCTATTAGCTACTCTACTTTTTGCAATTTTCATTTTTAAATTAAAGCTACCTAAATTCAAGTCAATCATATCTTAGTGATCAATATAACTGTCAATAAAACATTTGAGAGGTAGCAGTAACGCTTTAAAAAGTTTGTTGTCGATTACCGAAAAACAAAAATTCCCAGCATCATATGGATTTACTTTCATCGGCTAGACACTGACCTCACAGCTCTATGAATGTCTGTGCCGTCACTTAATGATCCGCGATCTGTAAATGTAACTTGTGTGGACGCTACTGCGCTACTTGACAAAAAAAATAGCTTCGCTACTGAAAAGCCATTTCATTTAGAAGGTAGCGACGCTACTGAGAAATGTAGTTAAGGTAGTAGTGTCTCTAATTGTAGCAATGCTACTGCTCAATACTGCATTTATTACAGTATTTGTTTATGTTGGATAATGAAAATACAGTTGTTCAATGTTAGTTAATTTTAACTCGCGGTACATTAACTGATGTTAACAAGCATGACTTTGAATGTTAGCAAAGCTTTTATTATTCTTTAAACAACAGATACCTAACAATAGAACAATTAATCTAGGACAGGGTTTTTCAAAGTCTAAGACAGTGGGCCTCCCTTTTGACACAACTTATCCATTGGCGCCCCCCTCCTCCCAAACACACACATGCAGACACACACACACACACACACACACACACACACACATATATATATATATATATATATATATATATATATATATATATATATATATATATATATATATATATATATAAGACACAGACAGATGTCAGACTGTTAACTCACTTTTATCATCATTTGCATGAAAGTGCAATTATTTACAGAGTAATAAGTATTTTAATATAACGTTTTTAAAACTAGGATGATGGTTCAATATGAATAGAACAGATCCAAGAACTGTCCATCCCAGTCAAAACAGTCGAAGTTTAGCGGGTCTCATGCTGTCATTAGCCAAAATATCTTGACAAACCACACATAAAGGTCGTGGCTCATCATCTGGTCCTGTCCACGTAAATCCTAAACTCAAATACTGATCATCATATCGTCGTCTTTTGGGTTTAAGCCCTAAACTTGAAGGCTTTGAATCAGGGGGTCTCAAAAACTGATGTATTAGCAGGCATATACCTGTATTGACGGGCTTGCCAAACAGAAGCAAATTCACAGCTATGGCCTTCTGGGTAAAAAAGGTTTTCTTATTTTTGATGTATTATTTTTTTTAGCTTTGTTTAATTAAAACGTTTAAATATAATAAAAATACATATAATAATTAAACGTAATTATATTTTTATTATATAATATTTTTTCCCGCGCCTCCCCTGACATGCTCTGGCGCCCCCCAGGGGAGGCGCGCCTCACACTTTGAAAACCCCTGATCTAGGATGATCAAAGGTAAATAATAATACCTGTATATAAAAACACATACACAAACACAAACAATGACACAAAATAAAAACAGTATATATAATTCAATAAAATTTTCTACAATTACAAACAAGCACTACATTGCATTACATTATTCAACATTTTTAAAATAGAGCTAATAATGCATTTGTAAATGTTGAAATGGGATTAATAAAAGCTCTACAACTATCATTCATACTTAGTTTATGTTAGTAAATACGTAAACTAATGAAACCTAATCATATAGTGTGACCTGAATATTTTTGTTTGTTGTGGTTTAAAAATTAGAGTTGTTCCACAAAATGCCGGTCTCTTAAAGATAAAACATTTCTATTGTGTGCAAAAAACATTACAAGTGGGAATAAAATGCTCTAAATCAGGGTCCCCAAGTTCTAGGTCTTAAAAGAGTTGCTACCATGCCACAAGAATACAAAATTACAATGCAATCCAAATTTGTTGTTAATTTCCCCTTTAAGAACCAATATCCATATTTGTGCAAACCACACAACAAACGCAAAAGCCTGCACCTCAATACCATAACTAGAGTTTTTTTACGAGGTTACGCACACCGGTGTTGAGAAATCGAATCCCCCCTGGAATTGAGGCCGCTTAGGACCCCTAAGGGATCATCTGTAGTGAATGCCTAATCAAAAGGTATTATTTTGATACCTTGTAGTGTGCCTAATCAGAGCTGCATTAGCTTATTGTAGCTTATAACGGTAGAGGTATGATTATGCTAGCACATAAGCTAACTGGGCTAACTAAACAGAATAAAAGATAAAAGTATATGAAAGGTTCAATATAACACTTATAAATGCCATTTTAATGGAGAAATGAAATAGTTTAAACTACACCTCCTACAAAGAGCTTCTAAATTGGGAGTAAATTGATCCTATTGTACCTATCTGGTGTCTTGTTATTTATCGTTAATGCTATGTGGTATGTTGGATGTATTATATGTTGTTTTATCTGTTTTATCTGTTGTTTTATTCCTCCATTTTTTGATAATTTTGTTTTTAGGTTTGTACAGCACAATGGTCAACAACTGTTGTTTCATTGTGCTTTATAAATAAACTAAACTAAACTAGTCATTATAATGTTTTTCACATGATATAAATTACGAACAGGATTTCGTATTGTGTCATTTTTAAGAAGGCACTAAAAAACTTGGGTTGGGCCGATAGACAATGCCATCGTCCATCACCAAAAAAATGGGTAAAGCCCTTTGTGTGTCTAGAAAAGCGGCATCTAAATTTAAGGAATATTTAATTGAGGATGAGTTGTTATGGTTTCTTGTTGCATCCATTTTTCAAATGGATGTACGTTCACGTTAATCAAAATCTTGTTCTAAAATGTAATAACATTAAATAATAACGACAAACTAAACACCAGTCTGAATAAGGTTGGAGACCCCTGCTCAAAATGACAACATTTTAATTTAAGAAGAAATATCATTAGTAGTTTATGAACAAAACCAACTGAACATTTCACTCAAACGCACAACTGAATTCTAAACCCACAGAAATTGTCAATAGTACAAATTTGGTCATAGTGGTCTTTTTTTCCCCCATGGCTGTATGATCTGTGTTTCCATTTGCTATCAGCTTTAAAACTTACCAGCTTTTCCTGCAGCTGTCTCAAGCCTGTCCTGTTCTCCAGCATGATGTCTGATATTTCAGCTTAACTAGAGCTCATTCTCAGGGCAGGAGAGACACAGGCCTGTTGTGTGGGTGGTCCTGGAAGTGCATCTCCTTCCCACGAGAAGAGAAAGTAACAGATAAAGCAGGGACTTTTTGGAGATGTTTTGTGCATTATTAATGGTGTTTTCATGCTGCAAAAGCAATAACACAGTTCGCAGTCGGAATCGGAGTCATACATCTGGGTTGTGTGTGTGTGTGTGTGTGTGTGTATGTGTGTGTGCATGTGGGAGAGTTTGTGTTGGAGATGCAGAGCAGTGCCGGCAGCGATTACTAACAGAGCAGTTTTGCAGTTAATAATGACAGTAATTTGGAGGAAGGAGACGCTGGTGTAGTTCTCTTGATAGCAGCATGTTGTAGGGCTGGTCGCGGTTCTGTTGGCATGTATTATTGAAAAGCCTTGTTTCTCTGCAGCATATGGTGCCGTCTGCTGCAGGAAGTTATCAGTTACAGTCTAGCATTGGATATTTTCATAATTTTCAAGTTTTTGACTGATTTTCTTTTCTGAAAACAACACAATGGGCTCTATTTTAAGGATCTAGGTGCAAAGAAGCACATGGCACAAAAGTATTAAGGGCGTGTCCGAATCCCCTATTTTAAGGGTGGAAAAATTCGGTTTGCACCACTGCGAATGGTCTAACAGGGTTGTGCTTATTCTCTTAATGAGTTATGGGTATGTTTTGAGAATAAACAAATCAGAGTTTCATCTCCCATTTCCTTTAACAGTCAGTTGATTTACACTATGGCGCATTTTGCTATTCACATCGCTGACTTTGTAAGAGGAAAAACTGAATGCTTCACTAGCAAGAAAACCATTAAACAGACAGATTTGCAACGCGAGGATAAAAAATGAGCCTCCTCTATTCGACCTCTTTACTTTCTCTTTCTCTTTTTTGTGGCTTATGAAACGGTGTTGTATGCACTCCACTGAAGACATTCATTAGCCTACATATTTAATTTTGTTTGTTAAATGCAAAGATTTGTTTCAAAACTATTTTTAAATTCAGTTCTAATTTCCAGCAAACGCATAAATGAACAATAGTAACGAAATGTGGTCAAAAAACTGGGTTATATCCAAAGACACGTTCTATGCCCCATATGGTCCAAATTCCTTTTAATCTTTTTCATTCATAAAGATATTTGCGTATTTCTGTACATCATGTGTGCAAAAAACGTCCGCAGATTCCGTCTGGCCCTGCGCATAGCTAACGAGGTCTGCGCTGGACATTGGACCTGCTTTCAGCTAGTCTACCTCACAGTCTATTTTAGTTCCTCAAAATAGCAACTTGCCAACAATGCGTCTTAAGACACCTTTTTTCTAGACTGGCACACCCATAAGCCCACAAAGTGGGGCAAATCAATTTACTATTTAAACAACGTGGTGCAAAGCAGGAAAATTAAGGTTGCGCTGGTCTGAAAATAGCAACACATCTTGGCAAACACATCTTGCTTCTTATTGCGCCGGGTGTATGATAGGGCCAAATATTTTTTACTTATCTATAAAAGGCTTTTTTATTTAAGCATTTTTAGATTATTGAAATGAAAAAAAAAAGACAAAACCTTGTAATTAACACTGCATTTCATTTAATTAAGTGTTTTGTTCATTATATACATATCACCCAACAGAATGTATGGTAATTGACAATGGTGATTTTGTTAAAATAGTAATTACAATTTTTCCACTTTCTGAATAGACAACTAAACAAAATGACAAAACTTTAATTTAAAAAATGTTATTTTATGAAGTTTTAGGATTTATAAGATTTTTTTGGTTGATTTTGGTTGGTTTTGTTATTTTGGTTGATTTTTTTTATTATTAGTTTGTTAGTAAATGTATTACATTAGTAACATTAAAAAGCCCCTATTATGCATTATAAATAGTCACATTTTGGTTTTTGAGGTCTAAAACGACAGCCTGATATGCAGGCAAGTTCAAAAAACACTTTCATTGTCCCATAATATGCGTTTATTTTTAGCTAATTATCCTAACGACTCCCATATTATTTGTCCAGCGATTCATTTGTTCCCAAACCCCTTCTTTGCCTGATGACTAAGTCTGTTGTGATTGGTTGACTGCTTGCAGTGCGAGATGGAGAGAAATTGCATTTCATTAAGTAGCACATAGTATGTAAAAGACATACAGGAATGCATTAAAGCAATTTAGTTAAACACCAGCATATTACTCTACTCTTAACCCCAACCCTAAGTAATAACAACGACACACATTCAGTATTAATTCACAAAAGTTGAACTATTTTAAAAATTGAGTCACATCTGTGTAGGAACAGCTGATGGTGGCCATAGCAAATACAAACGGCAAGGAATCAAGCACAGAAATGCAGAAATAAACACTTGGTTGGCTATACAGTAGTGTTGTGGTGTAAATCAACACACTATATAGAAGGTCATTTTCAAAAACCAATAATAGTGGCTCCTTTAGCTAACTAACTAACTAACTAACTTACTAACCTTTTTTATCCATTTAAATGAATCCGTGTCTAACATGTAACTATTTTAACATACAACATACATTTTTCTAACAACTGTTAGAATATGTGATCGTTTGACTTTTTTATGATATTATATAATAAAACTGTATTGTTAATTATTATTATTAATATAATATTAATTATTATAATAATAATAATAATAATAATAATAATAATTATTATTATTATTATACATTACTACAATAGTAATCTCTATAATACTAATACAACAATATTACTGCTTATTTTTAGGATTATTATTATTATTATTATTATTATTATTATTATTATTATTAATAATAATAATAATAACAATAATAATAATAATACAATATTACTGATTATTATTATTATTATTATTATTATTATTATTATTATTATTATTATTATTATTATTATAAGAAGCAATATGACATATAATAAAATAAGACTATGGTTTAAAAGACTGTCACCAGTTTAACAATTATGCGTGACATCTGAATCATTGTCAATTGTGAATAAGACTTTGTTAATTGTTTGAATCCCTTTTTTTATATTCTTGCATTTTTTTGATGACTAATTGTTCTACTGTATGTGTGACATTTATATGACATTTAAAGTGACACTTCACACAAACATGTTCGCACTAAATTATTCTGTCTTCATTTTCACTACTTTTGTGCATCCAGCGAGAGAATCTTGAAGCCTTTAATAACAGTTTGTGCAGCGCTTGTGTTTGATGCAACGTGTCTGTGTTTCTGCAGGATTATGTGCAGGCACTGACTGGCGTGTGTTACGACGGACTGGAGGGTCTGATCTACTTGGTGCTCTTCTCCTTCATCACAGCTCTCATGTTCACCTCGGTCATCTGCAGTGTGCCGCACACATGGCACGGCAAAAGGTACGATCTGTAAAATGAAATGAATTTAATTTGTGCTGCATAGAAGCACTGTAAAAGATTAAATGATTATTATTCAGCTCAGTTCAGTAGTGCCAAATCTTATCGACTTTGGAAGGTTGTAGATTTCAAACAAAGTGGCCAAATAATATTTAATAGATTTTCAAAGTAATACAACTGTAAAGGGGGGCGACACGGTGGCGCAGTGGGTAGCACGATCGCCTTAAACAGAACTGCTGCGGCTACGTGCAAGGCATGCGGCGTGGGTCACGCTGATAGCCCGACGCAGAAGTCTTTAGAATAGTCCTAACTTACCACCAAACAGTGTTTCTAAATATACACTTATATATTCCTATCATTAGATCACTTAATTGAATTTATGAATGAGAATATGTATTGTCTGACTTTGCATTTTAGATAATTTTTCACAAAACTCTTCCTGTGCAAGTGTTGTTCATTCAGTACAACAAACTCCTTTTTTTGTAGCTGACTTCACTCAGGATGTCTAAACCAAAGATAAAAACAAGGGTTAAAGTGTTTAGTGATATGTTTGTGTGTGACATTGATATGACGACAGATCATCGCTCAAGAACTCCATGGAATCAACTGCATCCTTCCGGCTCTTTCCATTTTTCTTTGTTTCCTTTCTTCTTTCCAAATGTTCATTGTAGTAGTTGCTGGCGTAATTACATACAATATAATGACTTTGGCCTAGACCCATGCGGCTGCTGTCCCAGGACAGGCTTGCATCAGGCAGACAGGATTACACTGGAAGAGATAGAAAGGACAAAGACCCCAGCTTAAGCATATTATACAGTTATCACATTCATAAGCGTGTCTCATGATACTCCTCTACTCGCTCTACCTCTTCATTATGGATAATTAGCAGTTTCTGAATATGAGTTTGGGCAGGCTGTGGCAGGCAGTGTAATGTGGAGGCGGATGATGATTTTGTTAACGGCGTGGACTGGTGGGAAATATTTAGCAATATGTGAAAGTCAATGCATGAATTTTTATGTGCAAGGAATATTTTTCACATCAGTGATACCTTATAAAAGCTGTTTTACTGATGACCTTGATGGAAAGTGGCATATATGTAGGTCACAGCACTAATTTAAAATCACTTGCTGTGTCTTAATTGATAAAAAAATTGAAATAAAAAAAAAAAAAAAAGCAAAAGTAGCTTTGACGATGATCAGTGGTGGTAATAACAGTGATATATATATATATATATATATATGTATGTATATATATGTATATATATATATATATGTATGTATATATATGTATATATATATGTATATATACATATATATATATATATTTATATATATATATATATATATATATATAGTTTTTTTTCAGTTACAAGTAATCTAATAAATTACTTTTACCCAGGCACATGCACACATAGGGCTCAACCTGTGCAGTGCACATGCCCTTTTTAGTCTTAAATAGAAAGTGCCCTTCCAAAATGATCTGAAGTGCCCCCGCGACAACACGCCAGGAGTTAGCCATTGTAGAAGTTAGCTATTAAACTGACAAAATGTAAAATAGTTCTCACGGTTCCTCGTGAGATCAGGCTGTCCTGTCAATGTTTATTTTCCTCCCTCTGTTCACCGTCAGGCTGTCCAGATTCACTTCATTCTATTTCTGTTCCTATATAATCCAATCATAGTTCAGCAGAAGCAGGAGAACAGGCTGTTAGTGAATCATGGAGTCATTACAGCAGGTATTTTCCAGGCTTTCGCTCAACTGGTAATATGTCATGCAGGGTTCCCACGAGTTAAGGAATTTCATGGAATTTTAATTCCAGACATTAAAATTAATGGATTTTTTTTTTCATCAAAGTCATGAAATATGAAGGATTTTTCGTAGTTTAGTGCCTATTTATCAAAATGTAGTTTTTCTATACTGTATCAAGTTTTTTAACACGTTGTTTCACACTTTTTGCCTGTTGTAATGGCTATGCTATTCAGTACATCTTTATTCCTTTCCCGCTGGTCAAATTGCAGTTACTTCAGTAAAATGTAATCATAAAGCTCTATCTGTAACTTGTATGCCGAGATCAGACTGCATGATTTTAGCACCTATTTTGATTCACCTACTTGGTTTTGAGAAATTGCTGACAAATCTCAAGCGAATTGGTGCTCGTTCACGTGAGTAACAAACACAGTGTGAACTATCAAAGACGCAATCTGAGAGAATCATCTGGTGCTGTCAGCAATTCAAAATCATGCTGTGAGGAATGTGTTCTGATTGAAAATAACATCAGCGATCACCTACAGCCAACGAGAGAGCAGCATCCACTAGTTTGAATATCTGCAGGCCAGCGGGAGAACGGGGAAGTTAAAAGTGCTTATTTTCATACTATTTGGACCCAAAAATGATTAAGAAATTATTGTAAATTTGGCAGAAACACCAGTCACTGTTTGACGTGTCATCTGAGCAATACAATAACTAGGTTGAAAAAGAAAAAAAGTTGAGAAGAAATTGCTAATTCCTTTCAAAAGATCAGGGGCCTTATGTATTAACGCTGCGTATGCACAAAAACTTTGCGTACGCCAGATTTCACACTCACATTTGGATTTACTAACGATGAAATGAATGTGAGAATGTGCATTGGTCCACGCCAACTTCATGTCTGGTGTACGTGCATTTCTTGTGTATGTTTGTTTTATTTCCATTGGCGACTCCTAGAGGCAATTGTATTAAATTGCACACTACACTACATTGCACTACTATCTTTGAGCTGTGCAATGGCAGCTGTATGGGACAGAATCATCCACATGTCTAGCAGGTATATAAGGTTTCCATACCATGCAGTTGACCAGCCAAACATTTAAGCACAATTTGCAGCGATCGCCGGTTTTCCAATCTCATCGGAACGTTCGGCTGCACGCACATTGCTAAAAAGGTGCCATCTGAAGACGAATTTGCATAAGTGAATCAGAAACAGTCAGAAACAAGAGTAGGCAAAATCTGATATGTAGCGGGGGAAAAAAGAAGAATGAGTTCATCAGATGCTGGATTTGAACCGAGTTCATGATCGAACGTGTCAAAACATGCTGCCATGCGCTTTACGAGTTACGCCACTTACGCTGCTGTTTGCCGCTCTCTGTAGTTTTGTTGTCTCTGTCGATCAAGAGGTCAATCAAGCGGAATCATTCAACTAGCTCATTCCAAGCCTGATTATCCATTGTTTCTTTCATAATGGTCGTTAAATTAATACAAATTATATTCAAGTGGTTTGTTTTTCTGTTCATTACCTGCCATGGAAATTGATCTTTTTGGTCAGTGAAATTGAGGGAGACTTCAGGCAGTTTGCCTTTTTGCCAATATTAGGAAGCCTGGCCTTTCCTCTGAAGTGTAAATATGGAAGAGTGGATTACAGCATGATGTCTTGTTCAATCTGCCTGCTGAATTGAATCATGTGAATTAGAATGGCTCCCTCGTGTTTGTGTGTGGACTTGATGTGCTCTTTTGATTGGAGATCGCCCTCTGCTGTTCAGAGACCCCCCTGATGCTTTCATACAGAAAATCACAGAGCATTTATTCATGCGCTGTTGGACAAAGCCCTCAGTGTCTGAATGATTCATGATTTCTTCCCAGTTTTTGTAAGTTATTAAACTGTAATTATGGCTTAAATTGAGCTCTGATTCTTTTCTTCTTTCTTTCTTTCTTTCTTTCTTTCTTTCTTTCTTTCTTTCTTTCTCTGATGAATCTCTTAAAAAGGTGCTGCTGTTAATCAACTGCTAGTATTTCATGGATGACAATATCTCTTTTCTTACGCATCTCGTCTGTGTTTTGCTCTCTGCAGTTTCCAACAGTGCTAACCACCAGTTTAACACCAATTCCCACTCCAACAGCATTCATGTCTCACACTCTCAGTCGGGCCGCTTCTCAGCAATTTACAAGTTGCATGACTTTGGGCTTGTGTTGAAAGAACAATGAGAGACACTGAAGGCAAAAACATGCGCAGTTTTGAGTGTCTCTTTTGGGCTCAAAAATTGTGTGTGTGTGTGTTTTAGTCTAAAGGAACTATATGTGTTTAACCCTTGCATATTGTTCAAATTAACTAACTTTTCATTATGTTAGAGGCTGTTTTTCCCCATCTTCCATTATAACAAGATTTTTTGATTGTACACCAGGGTTAAAGGCTGTTTTCTCATTTATTGAGCCATTATTTAAATGACCCACCAAACCCTAGTTATCTTCATATCTACTGAGGGTTTCTACAGAAGCATTTGTTTAATACACATATGGCTCATTATAAAGCAAGATTTTATTCTAGTTTTTGAGTTATGTTTTGCTAAAAATTATTTTTTTAACCTGACTTCACAAATGTGTTTAGATTTCTACACATGTTAGCAATTATTTAATGGACTATATGCACAGCCACAATGATGAACTTCCTTTAAAAGCTTAATGTGACTATTCATATGTTTTTTTGCAGCATCGATATTGTAATGTAGTTCAAATATAATCAGGTAAATAGACGTAATCTATTTAGTTGTTAAAGCGTAAAAAGAGACAAAACCCTGTGCAACCGCTAGCGCCATCATTAGCAACAGCTGAGAACAAAAACTCCATTGAAAACACTGGGGTACAATTCATTTCCACATATTAAAGATATGGAGCAGTAAAATACAATTTAATGCCGTGCTTCTTGTTTGGTCTGTTACTCACTTTATATCATATCTCAGCCAGGCAGGAAATTTTGAATGGGATGACAATTAATAGGAAGCCCTGGGGTCTTCATTGGATAGGAAGTCTGTGTGCATAATACCCCATTAAAGGGATAGTTCACACAACAATAAATATTCCCTGTTAATTTACTTAAATACAGGTCATCTAAGATATAGGTGACTTTTTTTCTTGGTTAGGTGATGCAGTTTATTGATAGAGGCTGATGGATATTGGTAACTGCGTTACCAGCCCTTGCGCATTCATCAACAAAAGTGACAGGACTACATTGAACTACACTGTAAAAAATGCTGGGCTGCACACAATTCCTGTATATTGTCCCAACACAAATTGAATAAGTTAACTCAATCGTCTTAACAAATTAATTAAACATAAAACAATTGTCAAGTTTTCTGCAAAAAAACTTAAGAATTGTGTTGTTTTAAAGGGCTTCTATGGTGAAAAATCTACTTTTCAAGCTGTTTGGACAGACATATGTATGTATAGGTATAGTGTATAGTGTAGACCATCATATTGGCGTGAAATAAACACACCCAGTCCTTTTTTTTTTTTTTTTTCAATTTAACAACATAAAAACGGTGGACCAATTGGAGAAGTTTTTAGAAAGAATAGGAGTGTGGTCCCCCCGCCCACCAATATTGATTGACAGGCGCGCATCACCATATTCTCAGTTTGTTGTTTCAGCGCGAGTCAAATCGATGTCACCAAAGGAACACCCTTGCTCTATTTTTAGATGTAAGGCTCATTGGGCTCAACACAAGATCAACATTCACCACATGATTGCTCTCATCGGCGCCATTGTTTGTAACTTTAGGTAGGTTTGCGAATGTGTACTTTTCATTGCGTCTACCTTAAACTTAAGCTATTTGCATTTCCCGTGGTTACAGAAGCTCTCTGTGATCTTAACTAGGTGCAGCTGGAAAGTGCGAGCACGTTGCCTCATGTGCGAGTCCCTTCATTGGAAATAAGGGGCTTGCCTGCAAGTCGCACACCCGAAGCTCGGTGACGCGCAGCATCGCACCATGCAGCACCATGCATTTTAGAATTCTAAACATGAGTTTCTATCAGGGTACACACACCGGCGGCTGTCCGCGGTGCCCTGCCATGACCCAGGACACTGTTCATATTTCTGCTGCGCCTCAGAGCGTCATCTGAATAGTTTCATTTTAAACAACATGCGAATGTGCGCGTCTGGTGTGCCGTGTCTCGGCTCTAAGTGGGTCATCCGGTGCCTCAGTCAAAGTTAATTTAGTGTGCGTGGTTATTAGTCTTGGTGTACAAGCTCGGAACTTTAAACTAGCACACAGTTGGCTGTAAAACTATACAAAGACACAAATGATTTTGTAGTCTCTGCTTGGTCTGTGTCCGAGTCGAACATGTACGGCTGAATGCTGGTCCTCTCACTCATGTTGCTTCTCTCTCTCTGCCTGTCTGTTACCAAACACAAAGCAGGGGAGCTCTTGGCTCCGCCCACTTGTTAAGTTGGGCGGGAAGTCGAAACTAATTTTCATGTGAAGCATCACTTCCCCATATCAGCGACATGTGTTATTCTGATGGATCTGTTGCTGTGTATACCTGTTGTTTGTAAATAGCTGTCTGTGTGTGTGTTCAGGCCTGAAGAGGACAGTGAGGAGGAGTCGGTGGCTCCTGGAGGCCGTCAGAATCATGATAACCTGTACCGTGTGCACATGCCCAGTCTGTACAGCTGTGGCAGCAGTTACGGCAGTGAGACCAGCATCCCTGCAGGAGCTCACACTGTCAGCAATGCTCCTGTCACTGAGTACATGTAAGTAACTCACACACACACACAACATTAACAACCAACACAACGCATGCAGCTCACCTTCATGAATTATGATAATTAGTTAATTTATATTATATTATATTATATTATATTATACTATATATTATATAATATTACATTATATTATATCAATTATTAAGCCATTTAGAAATTATTATACTACAATATCAAGTAAATATTAATAAAAATTATTATTTCCCAGTGATGGATTGCGGCTGGAAGGGCATCCGCTGTGTAAAACATATGCTGCATAAGTTGGCGGTTGATTCCGCTGTGGCGACCCCAGATTAATAAAGGGACTAAGCCGAAAAGAAAATATAAGAAGAATAATAATAATCACATAATTTATTATTATTATTATTATTATTATTATTATTATTATTATTATTATTATAAAGCCATTTAAAATGTACTATACTACAATATTAAGTAAATTATAAATATTATTTAAATTATTAAGCCATTTAGAAGTTATTTTACTTCAATATTAAGTAAATAATAATAATAATAATAATTATTATTCATATTATTATTTTATTATTATTATTATTATAAAACCATTTAACAATTAATATACTACAATATTAAGTTGATAAAGTTATTATATTATATTATATCAATTATTTAGCCATTTAGAAATTATTTTACTACAATTTTAAGTAAATATTAATAGTAATAATAATAATAATAATAATTATTATTATTATTATTATTATTATTATTATAAAGCCATTTAAAATTTACTATACTACAATATTAAGTAAATAATAAATATTATATTATATCAATTATTTAGCCATTTAGAAATTATTTTACTACAATTTTAAGTAAATATTATTAATATTATTATTATTATTATTATTATAAAGCCATTTAAAAAATTATACTTCAATATTATGTGGATAATAATTATTTATTATATTATATTATTAAGACATTTAGAAATTATTTTACTACAATAAGTAAATATTATTATTAATAATAATAATAAAATAATAATAACAATAATAATCATAATAATCAGTATTATTATAATGTAGCAGTTCAGTAGTAATATTTATTAAACTATTATATTATTATTATTATTATTATTATTATTATTATTAAATTGGTGTTTCTTTTTTATTAGCATGCATTTAACAGGATTTATAAAGCTGGGGCAAAAAAGTGAGGTAAAGAAGCCTAGGTTGTAAAAAAATAAATAAATAAAATGTTTCGGAACAAAAAACTGGTCACAGGTTTCCCCAAAAGCATTAAGCAGCACCGCACTGATGACTATAATAAATGTTTCTTGAGCATCAAGTAGGCAAATGAACATTTACACTGCAGTAATGACTGTAGAACATTCAGCTTGGCCGTCATTAAGATGTATTAAAATTCAAAACAGTTGGTTTAACAAATAATGTTTCTCAATATTTCTGCTTTCACTGTACAGTAAATCTAATTTTATCATCCTTCGTAATCTTATATTTTAGACCCCCAAAAAGTCTGACATTTACTGTGCACAAGCAATTTCAACCTTTAGATCAGCTCAATAAATATTAGTAAAGGAGGATTTGGGGTCTTTGTAAAATGTGTACATCTCATTTCCAGGACCCAGAATGCAAATTTCCAGAACCCTCGCTGTGAAAACACTCCTCTGATCGGCAGAGAATCTCCTCCACCATCTGTAAGTGTCCTTACTTGTCTTCAATGAATGACAGACACAAACACAAACACACACACACACACACACACACACACACACACACACACACACACACACACACACACACACTTACACACACTTACACACACTAAACCACCAATCATTCACAGAGTCATTTTGACAGCCTGAATGCTTCAGTATTCACCATGAACAGCACACTCTCCTAGTTTGCCTGTGTTGATCAGTAATCTCCCTCACTGTAGTTTCTGCACTGTACACAGCAAGTCATTACAAACAGATGAGTGTCTAGATGAGAACCGACACCATAAAGAAAAAAGTAGGATCTTCTAGCTTGCCCAATTTCACAGAACAAGTTAGGCCGTCTGGAGATTTGTTGCCATAGATCAATGTTGCATTGATTTTTCATTTGTGAGGAAAAGGAGAAGAGAGATTTTGAGCCAAATGAACACTTACCAGCTCGAAACCCTCGATAAAGGAAGTAAGATGTCAACATGGTCAGCTGTTGTTGCTGAAATCGTGCTGTTACTCTCAGGGCCTCACCATTGAACTGGGCAGATTGATTGAATAAGTGACTCTGACATTTCACATAGAGTTCTTGTGTATTTTAACACCTCGCTTCAGCAGCTGATCAATGTGAAGCTCTTAAAACAAGACCTGGAGTGCAATGTTAACGCAAGCAAGCACCACAGACCGCAATCTTGCTGCAGTTTTGGTATATCAATTTCTGAGGGGACAAATTTCGAAGAGCTCAGGTAGTGTGGCTTGTTAGTTTCTATTTGGTTGCAAGAATCTGCCAATCAAAAAACTAACTCAATGTGTACTTTCACCTTGCTTCTTTATCATGTTGAAAGAGTAATTTCGTTTTACTGACAGACTGTTTACAACAAGGGGTCTTAAACTGCAGCCTGCGGACCATTTGTGGCCCCTCTACTCCTCCCTCCGGCTCACAACTGACGTCAAAAATATTCGGCCCACCAAAACACATTTTTGAACCACTATCATTGTTGTGCGAGCAGTCGCATATACACTTGTGGTTTTGACCCCCACCTACTGGAGATAAAATACCATACTATTTAGGTTAATTTCGGTTTCTCTCAGCGTGCGGTTGAGACTTACGCACTTGCAGATTATTTCTGGGACGCGATTAAGTCCGTAAGTGCTCTATTTTTTACTAAAGCTCTATTTCTGAAAATATTCAAGGGTCATAATTAGTTTCATACCCCCTGTATTTTGTTGTACAAACCAGGGTCCCCGCAGGGTCTTAAAAAGTATTAAAAAGTCTTAAATTAAAAAATCGAAATTTATGGCTTTAAAAAGTCTTAAATTTGCTTTTCTAGGTCTTAAATATTTTTGCACAGGTGTTATTTTTGCAATGGCCATGTAACGCTACATCTAATGCTCATTTAAATTCTTTTTGTTGTTGTTGCTAGGTTTTTGGGGTGTTGTAGTTATTTATTTCACTAGTCCAATTGTAATTTGCAGTATTACAAGCACAAAAAAGTCAACTTGCAATAGCCAATCAGCTTTCTGATATTAAACTCAGTGCGTGCGGCGAATGTGACATCATCGCTGTGTTTGCAGAAGTTCACTTTTAGTGCGCGCGACATGATTTCGGCTGGCATAGTATGCCGTTATTTCACTGACAAATGTCGCAAGCGCAGTTTTGTAAGTCGGGAGCGCTGTTATACGAGAGAGCGAACTGCTTGCGAACTCTCAAAACACTGGCTGCTCACGTGCGAATGATCTGCTCTCGCTCCGTCGGACTTCTTTCATGCTTTTCCAGAGATGCTTCAGCATACTGTAGTATTAAGAATAGTGAACTGATAAAATAAAATACAGTGTAGTTTTACTACAGTAAAGTGTGTTGAATTGTTGAAAAAAAAAAAAAAAAAAAAAAATTTTAATACACTTGTTATGTTACCATAGCAACTATAGTATTACCACAACAGAGTAATTGAAGTACTTTACTGTACTTCACAAAACACTGTACAGCAGACATGAGTTCACTTTATTTTAGTAATAAAATGGGATTGATAGTGGGATTTATTTGAAGAGTGAATAGTACAGTAGGCTATAATACCTAATCAAGTTTTTACCTATTTTCTATCACAGTTACATTTCTGCTTGCCAGAATGACCAATAATTATTGGCTAGAAATTGCAACAGCCATGGGAAAGGAGGAAAGTTTTTGTAAAACTTTGGAAAAACTCTGAGGGATATCTTTTTGATATTGCGATATAGATCTTAAACTCAATACTTAATGGTCTTAAAAAGGTCTTAAAAGGTCTTAAATTTGACATTATGATATCTGCAGAGACCCTGAAAACACCTTTTCATGGCTTACACGTTATACTGGGGTGTAAATATGATCATTTTGTTTATGTTCGATTCAAATGGTCTGGTTAATAGATTTTCCTCATATACATATTAAGATTTGTATAAAAGTGTGCATTAGTAAAATTTGACTGCTGGCCAAGTTGAACTTGTTAAAGTAAATATGTATATATATATATTTATATATATATATATATATATATATTAGGGATGTAACGGTATCAGAATTTCACGGTACGGTAATACCTCGGTATGAATGTCACGGTACGGTATTTATTGAATCATTTACAGGAAAAAACAAAACTTATGAAAATACTCCAAAAAAGTGCCAAAAGTGTCAACGACATACAAATTAGCCATCTATCTGTAAGCTTTGAAACAGGAACTTCAATTTTAATAACAAAAAATTATTAAACCATGTAAAAAAATAAAGTTTCAATTTAGTATTGTTGAAAACTCATCACATTCAACATTTAATCACTCACTCACTTAGATAGAGATGGGTTTTAAGGAAAATTATCATATAAATATAATCTGGTAAAAGCTGGTATCTCTGGGCATTTAAAATGTCCCCTGCAACAGAAAAAACCCTCTCATTTGGGACTGAGGTTTCTGGGACAGAGAGATATGACTTGGCCCAGGTTGACCGCAGTGGCAGTGACAGCGTTGTGCATTGTCTTTCCCCCACTTGAGAGGACAAGCCATGAGTGAGATAGAGGTCTCATGTCTGTATCAATCTGAACAGTGTGCTGTGTCACACCCTCCGTCCCGCCCTTCAGTAGGCGCGCGACAACACCGCTCTTGAGTATGCGCGCTCAACCCCCCCCCCCCCCCCCCCTTTACAGTACGCGCGCGACATCACAGCTGATCAGAACGCGCGCAACAACACCGCTATTTAGTACACGCGCGACAACACAGCTGATCAGAACGCGCACGACAACATCGCTATTCAGTACGCGTGCGGCGACAACACCCGCTTCAGGTTCAATCATTTCCAGCTCTTTTTGATGCCCGCTTCTAGCAGCACACTCCATTTCCGCATTACTGTATCTGTAGCGACAACAGACCGCAAGGGATGATGGCCACCCCTGGGCTGATGGGAATTGTAGTTTTCGCTACCTCCCGTTCGCTTCATTCGCCTGAGCAAATTTTCTCAGAAGACCTATAGTTTTACCGAGTCATGCGACTACGGTAATATCGAAAAAAATTAATATTGCGGTATGACTGTATTTACAATACCGTTACATCCCTAATATATATATATATATATTCTTCCCCCTTCTGTGTTGTAGTTTTACAAAAAAAAGAAAGATATTGAGAAGAACAGTTGCCAGTAAAGTCACTAAAGTTACCCAAACTGCTTTCCGCTGTCTTACGCTATCTGTTAAACTTTTGATTAAGCAACAATTAATTGGGACTGACCCCCATCTCCCCCACCCAGAATTTGAGTTTGAGACACCTGGGTAACAAGAGTGTTTGCAGGTTATCAACAAGCAACAAGTTGATTTCTTGATTTTCACCACATAGTTGGCTAATGTGGTGACTAAACTTTTTTAATACTGCTTAAGTATGCGCATTTATAATGTGTTGTAATAATGTAATATTGTGAAATGTTTTTGCACTATAAAATAACTGTTCAAAAGTAGTTTATCATTTTATTTAATTCTTTATTCCGGTGATTTTTAAAAACAAATTTACAGCTTCATTATGATCCTTCACAAATCACTTCAATATTAATTATTACTATTAATATTAGATTATTATTAATTGTAATAATAATAAAAGCAACAATGACTGGACTATAAATATAATTTAAAACTACATACAATAAGTAATAAATAAATAAATATTTAATGAATAAATATTTAACAATTAACATTATTTTTGCATTTAATAAATGCCGCCTTGATGAACAGAATCATTTTATTTATTTATTTTTTAAAAAGCTGACCCCGAAGCGGCTGACCGGTAGTGTGTATATAAACTTTATTAATCTAGCTCTCAAAGAAGTACCTGTATACTAAAAATAAAAAAAATCCCAATAATACACAATATAAATTCACAGAATTTTGAAATATATCATGTATGTATGACATTTTTTTTATTATTGCAATCTGAATATTACCTTGTGTTTTAAATATTTAAAGATATGCATTTATTGCCATATCTCAGATTTCTGCATTCAGGACTGCACAGCTGCTGCTTTCAATTTTGGTTCGATTGCCCTGCTTGCCTGTTATGCATATCAGAAAACGAGAAATTAAGTCCATAAATACCAGGGTATCTGCAGGGTTTTAAAATGTCTTAAGATGTCTTAAATCAAAAACTAAATTTTAGGCCTTTAAAAAAATTACTGAAATACAGTGTTGTACTGTAGGTCTTAAATCTTTTTTTAAACAGGATTTTTCTTTGTTTATGTATTGCTACCCAATCTGACCAACACTCATCCAATCACCAACAAGCTCAATAAAACTTTTACTTTTATTTAAGAATTAAAATGTTAGCTCTATTTACCATAATAGTTTAGTAGGGCTGTAACGATACACGATATAAAATCGAAATCGCGACACTCGGATCTACGATCCTGTGTCGCGGTGTGATAAGGGAGAATCGCGACACACCCCGTGACTACCTTTCCAATAACGTCACGCGTGCCTGCAAAACTT